TGCCGCGGGCTGAGCCACCGCTGCCTCCACTCCTTCCCCTCCTGCATATTTGGGTGACTCATCCTCCCGCCGTCCCCTGCCCCGGCTTCATCCCACACCACCCGCCACCCTTGCATCAGGGCTGGCCCCGGCCGGCCCCTGCAGCCCTCGCTCTCCCCCTTCGCCGGGCTTCGCACCAGCTCGGAGTTATTTGAGCATTGGCCAACATGAGAAAGAGCTAACGAACATCCACGTGGCGACAGCTTCTGAGGGATCCAGCCACAAGCATCGCTTGCTCCCGCCCTACCGGTCCTGCAAGCTTGGGCCAGCTTGGACCGGGGTGAAGTGGGCTTCTCTCGGGGTGAATTCCCCCAGCCCACTGCTGGTGGCTGAGGGGTTTCACGCGGTGGCTGCGACGACTGCTGGGAGGGCACCCAAACCTCCTAGAACTTTTCTGGTGAGTTTGGGCAATGCCCAAATTCAGCGCCCAGCCGGGGGCAGTGCTTATGCATTAGAGACGGCGGCTTTGCTTTTGTCATCCTTTCCTCCGCGGTCGGTGGTGCTGCTCTGGCTGGGGCCACCTTCGCCCAGCAGCCCCCAGCCGTGGGAGAGGTGCGAAGGCGCCCACTGGCACTGTCCTGGAGTGCTCTGCTGTGCTCAGAGCCAGATCCAGGTCACTGCCACCTCTTTCTCCCTCCTCTCTGCCTCCATCTGCCTTGGCAGCTGCGCTCGTCACCTGGAAGATACGTGATATCTGCAACCTGAGGCTTTTCAAGGAAAAAAAAGGCACGCAGGAGAACGTGGAGGAGCGGACGCAGCCACAGACCCACAGGGCAGCTGTGTGCCAATGGCTCGTGATGCTCTGCCAGCCCTCACCAAGCTGGTGGGGATGCGGTCCCTCCACCTTGCTCCGTCCTTTGCTGGGAAATGCACAGCCCCATTCCCAGTGTCACCGCTGTGACAGCCCCAGCTTGGGACAAGGGGGAGTCAAACGGACAAGGGCAGTGTCAAACCTGCTGCCTCTGTCTCTGTGCCAGGGAAAGGACCAGCCTCTGCTCTGGGGAGCTGGGACCTCCAGCGCGGGGCGAGGGTGGTGGCGAAAGAGCTGGGGCCCAACGCTTGCTGCCCCAAAAAGCAGCTGCAAGGGCAGAGAGGTGCTTGTTGCCCAAACCAGCCCTGGGGCAGCTTTATGGGCCCCACAGCAACATCTGGGGGGATGCACACCCAGCCCAGGCTGTGCTGCTCAAGCTGGCAGCCGAATCGCCCTGTCCCCCGTGCTGGCCAGGAGCCCCTGGGTGTCCTGACTCCATCAGGGCTGCACCTCCAGCTCACAGATGCGATCCTGCTCACACCCCCTGTTCCATCCTGGAGTCAAACCAGTGCAAGGACCACGCATCCCAGCCCCGGTGCAAACGCCCTGTCCTCCCCGCTGTCTGATGGTGTGCTGGGGCAGGTCACTGCTTCCCGCGGGACACTCCTGACCCCAGCGTCAGGGGGAGCAGGGTCGGACCTCACACTGCCCAGCCACAGCCGAGCACGGCTCCGGCCCCAAAATGCATGGCTTGGGCACAGGCTATGGCACAGACCATGTTTTTTTCCTTGCTGTAGCATCTAGGCAGGGGCTGAGCTGTGGCAGGATTGGACCCACCAGGCTGATTTAACCTCTGAGAGCTTGCAACCATCTAATGCAGTGCTCTGAGCTGGAAGAGAAAAATCAAGCTGTCTTTAAAGCTGCATGTGGTAGTGAGTTAGTGCTGCACTGAATACCAGCAGAAAAAAAAGCACAAGTCCCATGCTTTGCCCCAGAATCAGTGCTTCTTTCCTCCGTGCTGTGCTGATCCCGGCTACTGTCCTCAGGGCAAGAAAAGCCTGGGATGGGCCACTGCCTGGCTGGAGCATCCCTCCCCACAGCCTGAGACAGAAATAGGGATTTTCCCAGCCCTGTCGGGGTGGTCCTGCCGTCCTCCCTCCCCAGTTCCCATCCTGGGTGGCTAACAGGGCTATGACATTGCTTGCAGCGTGCGAATGCTGGCCGAGCATGGGGGTCACCCGTGGCACGGCCCCATGGCAGGCAGGGGAAGCCTGTGGACGCCTCGCAGCCTGCATGCGTGGATGTGGGTCAGCCCACAGTGATGGACAAAGTACAAAACCCCGGGGAGAGCCAGCCCATGAGAGCTCCAGCCCCTTTTATTGCTTCTGCTCTGTGGCCCCACAGGAGACACGTTTTATGGCTTTATTTACTATAAAAGATCTTAAGGAAGCTGATCGCTACCTACACCTGCCCCTATTTCTGCCCACAGGGCTGTCTAATGTAATGTAATGGCACTGCTGGGGGCTGGTATCAGGCTTTTTGGACATGGGGACTTGCCCAAGCCCACTGTCGAATGCCCCGTCCCCGTCCCCATGCAGAGGGCAGAGCCCCAGGTGGGAAACTGCAAAACCCAAACTCCATTTCTAGGAAGCTGGATGCCACCAAAACCCAGTGTTTATTGCAGTGCTCCTCGCCGGCCTCGGTTTTATAGATGTGCGTTTAAAAATAAAAGCTCTGTGCATCTCAGCTGGCCATAGAAGGGCTTGATCGTTGAAAGGGCCGATCCGTCAGGCGATGCAGAGCTTGGCAGGAGCAAACTGGCCAGCTACCTGCTCGGGATTTCTGTGCGTCGAGTTGGGAGCCTCGTGCATGAGAAACTCCAGCTCTGCTTTCAAGTATATTTGGCATGAAGACATGCGGTCTCTCTGGCATCACACGTCCCACCAAGGGGGAACGACCCGCTTGGCCCCTGGAGAGCCATGTCCCTTGGGTCGTCTCCCCCCGCCAGGCTCAGGGGATGATGGTCAGTTTGGGCAGCTGCTGTAACAACGTGCCGGCTCATTTTGGCTCAAGGATGGGCAGCAAGAAGGCTGCAGGAAGCTTGGGTAACTCATGTTTAAATGATGCCGCTGGGAAAAAACCAGCTCGGCCACCCCAGCTGCATGAAGGGGCCAGGAGCTGGTGGGGCCCCGGCAGAGCCGAGGGGTACGTGATGCTCAGCAGCCGTAGCGGCTGCCCACGGTGCTCACCCGCTCTCCCAGCTCCCCGCCTGCAAACCCCTGGCCAAGGCGGCTCTTGGCCAGGGGGCTGCATCTCAGGTGGCTGAACCTTGCAAACAGCCCTCCCAAATACAGCCCCCAAACCGACCAACTGCCATGGGCCAACCATGCCATTTTACGCACTCACCCCATCCCAAGAGATGGGGCAGCTTCCAGAAAGACCTGAGTCGATGCAGGCTTTGTCCCTGGCCCTGCTGCAGCCGGGGAAGGCACAGGTTCAAAAGCACCGACTCCAGTAGCCCCTCCAAGTCCCGGACATGGTGGGGGGCCGGTGGCCGCTGCTGAAATAGGTTATTTGTTGGCCATGTAGCTTTAAGCTCACATAGGTTTTGCTGACGGCGGGCCCACAGGAGAACGGAGATGCAAGCCAAAGGCGCGAGCAAACAGCACAGGGTGGCTAACCCTGGCCAAGCCCTGGCTACCACCCCCGCCCGTGGGGCTACAAGTCCCAGTGGGGAATTTTACTCCTGCAGCCAAGAAGTCCTCGGGCCAGGAGAGCAGGAGGGTGTGTTGGGATCCCAGACGGCGCGGGGGCAGGCGGGAGCGGGGACACGTGGTCCCCGCCGTGTCAGCAGTGACGCGTGTGCATGCCGGCCCTGACGCACCCAGCGCGTCCCCGGGGCTTTGTCTGGGGCAGCCCAGCACAGGGGACGCTGGCTCTCCCCCACAGCTGGGACAGCTCTTCTCTGGCGGGGCTTTTTTTCGGTTCAAGGCTGTGCTGGTGCAGGAACGAGCTGGGCAGGGGAGGAAGAGGCTGTGGGCACTTCTAGGCAAAAAGCATCCCTCTTGGAGCTGCCCCGTGGTCCAAACGCTCCCTTTTCGGTGCCCAGCTGGAGCTTCCCAGCAGCACCGGCCACTTGCAGAGCTCAGCAGCCCCGGCATAGTCACTCGGCAGCGGTGGCTAGCATGGACAGCCGTGTATGCCGCAGCCCCTTCGCACTGGCCAGGCAGCCGAACACCTCGCCCTGGGGGTCCCAGACATCCAGAGCTGGGACAGCAGCGGAGCTGCAGGCAGCTGCACAACAAACTCACCCCACAGTACAGCTTCTGATGTGCTCCCCAGCCTTTAACAGCAACGTCCCCCAACCTCTTCCCTTGTGGTATGCAAGGACTGAAAACAGCATCTGGGGATGCGGCCATGGCAATCCTCCCCCAACGCAACCCTCGGCCTGTCCTTAGGACAGCCGTGGTGCCTCTGCTTTACCCACCCATCTCAGCGATGCCGTAGCTCCTCCACCAGCACCCCTTCTCCACCCAGTGGCATCTTCCCGGGTGGCTCCACACCAAAGACTTCAGGATGCTCTGCGGCATCGACTGTCCCAGTGCCTGACCCTGGTGGGATGCAGCCCACAGGACCTTCTGCCTATAAGCAGGGTGCCCTGTGGACGCACATCCAGAGCTTTCCCGGCAGGCTGATGTCGGACACTACCAGGAGGAGGGAAATGGGGTGCTTTGCTCACACCACCTGCATGCGCAGACCTCCCTGGCTTTGAAATCTAAAGGAGCTACCGTCCGATCACCAGCTGGCAGGGTGAGCTCCTGCAGGAGTTGCCTGGCTCCCAGGAAGGGATGGTGCTGGCACTGCCCCTGCCTGCTCACTGCTCAGCGATGCCCGGGTGAGCAGCCCACAAGCAACAAGCAAGAAGAGCCCATCCCTTCCTCCCAAGTCAGCTCTGAAGCCCCAGCTCTAAAGCTGTGGCAGCTCCTCAGGGATGAGGGCAAGCAGGGATCCCTCCCACCAGCTAGAGGACAGCTACGTCTCAGGTGTGACGGTGCCTCAGGGCTCCCTCCCCATGGCCAGATCCACGGGAGGAGTGGTACTGTCCCTGTATCCCGCTGCAGGGATTCTTCCTGCAGGGAAGCATGTAGCCATTCCGTTGTTATCAGCTGCAAGGAACAGCATAGCTGAGCCAGTGCAGGAAGCCTGGGCAGCGTCCGCCGGCTCCCCCTGCCCTTCCAGCTGCCCCTCTCCCCAAACCCGAGTGCCAGCCGGGAGGGAAATGTCCCCTGAGGCAGCCTCTTGATATGAAACCCTGGGAGGATGCAATGAACCACCCGGGTGATCCCTGACTGCAACACAGAGAGGAGGATGGAGAGCCGGCGTGTGCCACGCAGCGCACTGGACAAGGGCAGTGACACGCTGAGGGTGACCTCGTCTGTCAGAAAGCCGGTGGCTGGCCTCACGGGGGGCACAGACGCAGCAGAGAGACCCCCAAAGCTGGCGGGAAACGTCCCCCAGCCAGGCTGCCAGGCCCACGGGGCCAATCCTGCTGCCGGTCCCTTGTGGCACAGCTGGGCTGGGGTCTGTTCCCTGGGTCCCAGTGGCTGTAGCACTTCAGGTCCCCCTCCTCTTCCTCTCCACAGCAGGGCCAGCGTCCGTCTGTCCGTCCATCGGTGGTTTCAGCCTTCAGCAGGCCTCCGCAGGGACACAGGCAGGTGGCCACAGCCCTGGGTGGCCACAGGAGGCCACGGTTTAGGTGGCCCGGCCAGGTGGCAGGCGTTTGCTGTCCAGAATGGCCTTCCAGTCATCGGTCCAGGACTGCAGCCGGCGGCTGGGGGGCTTCAGCTGCAGGTGCTTGTTGTGGCAGGCCGTGAAGAGCACGTGCTCCCAGCTGGGGTTCAGCTCAGCCCCTGCAAAGCAAGGAGAGAGGTCGGGCTTTCTGGATAATTCCTCTGCAAGATGCAGAGGCTGACCTTACCCCAACATGAGGAGCCTGCGGATGCAAACCCCTAACAAGATCCTAATCAGCCGGGCAGGGACCAACACCCATCACCCCCCGATGCCGTCTGCCCCTTGGGGCTGCCTCCGGTCACTCCTGCCACCTTGCACCTCTCTTACCTGTTATATCAGGTCTGTCGTCTATAAGCAGGTCAGCAGAAACCACCGTCTTATCTCGCGTCAAAACAATCTGCTCGAGAAACTCGGGGCCGAAGTGCTTCTCCACCCAGGCGTACTGGAAGGCGAGGGGCGAGCGGTGAGCGCGGGCACGGGAAGGATGATGGATGGGGCAGGGGCTGCTCGGCAGAGTGGCAGCAGAACCCGGCACTAGCCCTGGCCTCCACATAGGGAGGACATCTTGCTTAATTAGTTTGTTAGTGAGAAGGATTCGGATGCTGCTGGAGCACAAGTTCTCCTAAAGCCAAGCAGCTTTTGACATCATGATGAAATATTAAGATCGCGTGCCTCAGTGCATGCAAATGGCAGAGCTCGGCCAACAGCAGAGCTGCCACTCCGCAAAGATGCTCAGGAACAAAACTGGTGGAGCAGGGAAATACCGCTGCCATTTTACAGCCGGAAGCATGCGGGGTCAGCTGGCTTTTGCCAGGCAGTGTGGTACAGGATGGGGAGCTGGGATTCGGACCTGCTCACCTTCTCATACGGGCAGTAGCGATAGTTCTTGATCGGGCTTGTGCAGATGAACACGTCGGTGCTGCCACAAGGAGAGAAATGGGGGCAGAGCATCACTCCATGGCCAAACACGCTGATCAGACCCTGCTCCCCCTCGACATGCACCCGTCTGCCTCTGCAAGGCCCCACTCAGTGCCTAGGCAGGCAGGCACCCGAAACAGACCCCCCTGCCACACACTGGGGCGATTTAGGACGTTAATCCTCCATCTGGCAGGATCCCATCCCCAGCACGTGTACCCACACCTGAGGCACAGGCACGTTCCCCTTTTCGCCACCCTTGCTGGGAACAGAGTTGAAGGGAAGGGGCTACACATGGCTGATTTTCTTGGTGGCTGCTCTGGGAGTCGAAGCCCTGTCCCTCCTCCCACGCCCGGCAGGCTGGTAGGCATTTTTAACACTGATGTATTCAGCGCTTCCGCCGAGAGGAGGATGAGCCTGCAAAGCCACTGCTGCTCCCCCGTCCCTGCCCCAATACCACAGGCAGGTTCCTACTCACTCTGCCAAATTTGCCATTTGCTTCACAGCTTCCACAGCCCCAGGGAGCGGGTCCAGCTCCATGAAGAAGTTCTTGGATTCCCAGATGCTGATGGCTTTCTCCTGTGAGGGGTAAGAGAGCGGTTATTGCACAGGGCTTCTTGCTACTCTTCTCCTTGTACATGCATCTTGCCCACCCCTGGCTAGGACAGAGGATGGTGACAGCGAGAAAGGTGGGAGCCCTGGCTCCCTTCCCCTCCTGCTAACCCGCCTTGCCTCTGTGGGTGCCTCTGCTCCCCACCTGCCAACCTGCACCCATCCCATACAATTGAGATCAGAGATGCTCTGGAGCAGGCTTGGTTTTGCCCGTTCAGCCCCAGACACAGAGGGAGCAGCACGTTCCTTCAAGGCAAAACACAACAGGTTGTCCCAAATCAAACCAAACTCCGGGTCTGTGTCCGGAGGGGCACTTCCACATGGATCCATCTGACATGGCCTGGTAGCCCTGCTGAAACGTGATGCTGTTCAGCCACAGATGCTGTCTGGCCTATTTGTCTCAATCAGATCACTTAAAATAGCAGCCGGGCTGCTCTCGTAGGAGATAGTGTATTACAGGATGAACTACATGTCAGGATGAATGCAGATGCTCTTCCTCAGGGATGCCTGGGCAAGGTCTACCAGGCAAATAGAGCATCTCCAGGCAAGGGTTTGAAACGCTTAACATCCAGGTGGGCAGCCGGGCTGCACCGGTACGGCGCACAGGGAGCAAAACCTTGGGACAAGGGCAGAGTCCAGGGGCTGCCTGCGATGGGTCCAGCGCAGCTCTAAGGAACGGCATCCCCTGCACTCCCTCAAACAGGTAACGGCTTGTCAGCCACCAAGCAAAGCAATTATTTTGCACAGACAGGGGGTCCTGGGGGAGGAGAGCCTGGGAGCGCTGCAGCGTGGCTGCCGGCGGAAGCAGCCCTGTCCTGGCGTTGCAATGCAGCCGAGCAGCTGCGGCTGGGAGAATTTTTGAAGGGAGCCGTGCCCTGAAGGATTGATCTTGATTCTGAGCACCTCTGTCTTTGTATTTGAGGAAGGGGAATAGGGACAAAAAGAACTTTAAGCCCATCCTGGCCTTCTTGCATTGCACAGTTTGGAGGTGCCATCAGGAGCATCAGGGTAGGGGAGAGCAGCCTCAGTAATGCTTCTACGCCAGTTCTTACAGCTCATAGCAACAAATAGGCTGGCTGGACACACCAGCTTGACTTGCAGCTCCCTCCTGCCTGATTAAGTGGGAATCTAGTGGACAACCACCACGTTTTGCCCTTACTATGCCTGTACTGGGGGAAGAAAGCAGGCAACCATGAGCAACTGGGGCTTTACTGGGGGAAGAAAGCAGGCAACCATGAGCAACTGGGGCTTTACTGGGGGAAGAAAGCAGGCAACCATGAGCAACTGGGGCTTTACTGGGGGAAGAAAGCAGGCAACCATGAGCAACTGGGGCTTTGCTGGGAAATGCAGGCTCAGGGCAGCAACACCCCAGAGCAAACCCAGGGCTCATCGGGGAGTCATATTCTGCTTCATCCTGCTGGCTGCCCACGCCAGGACACTGGCTGCGCACCTTGCTTGCTCTCAGAAAGATGAATGCATGAACCGTGACATATTTGGGCACTGAGCATTTAATGTGCCATGCCAGACTCAAACCCTGCGTTTCTCAAAAAAATCCCAGATAACGCGGGAAGACCAGACACCCAACTTAAAAGGAGAGACTACTCCGATCAACTGTTGCGCTCTTCCCTTTTGGCCGAGCAGCAGCAAACGTCGGTGGTTCGGAGGAGGGAAGAAAAGCCTTCTTTGTACATGTTCACAATGAAACGACGCTGATTCGGTGCAAGAGAGCCAGCAGAAATGCCTGCTGGCACCACGACAAGAACAAGAACAGCCACCCTAGCAGCGTGCCACAGGGCCAGGCAAACATTCAAACTCCAGTTGCTTTAGACCGGTGAGCAGCGAGGTTTTATTTTTAAGATACTGACTATAGTTGCACAAGAGACATCTGAGCAACGTGGCCTGATGCAGCAAAGCACTTCAAACAACGCTGAAGTGTTTTCTTACAGCAAGGGCTTCCGCAGCTATTCTACTTCCACTTATGTGAAAAAGCATTTTGCAATCAAGCTCGATGGGGGAAGAACTAAGCTCATCTTGAAGAAAGGACTCGCTCAGCTCCCAGAGCCAGAATAACTCCCTATGGCACAGCAGCCAGCAGGCTGCCCAGCAAATGGAAAAATCCCCCAGGCTGGGAATCCCACCACGTGCCGGGCAGGACAGACCCTCGATTTCCTTCTTCTTCTCTCTCCCCATGAGCAATTTCCCTGCCCACCCAGGGCTCCCCATCCTTTCCAAGCCGGTGTGGGCAGTGTATTGCTGAGCTGTTGTTCTCCCTTTCAGGACTGGGACCTTCAGCTCATTGGACTCTCTTGCACCTATTTTCTGGTCTCCTGCAGCAGGTCGATGGTGCGCTCTGACGAGGGGGGACTGGAACGGCCCATGTGCCCATAGCCACAGAGCGGCTCCTACTGTCTTTATCCCCGGTCTGAAACCACAGCTGAAATCAGGGCTGCCCTGAGGTCAGCCTGTGGAAATTTTACTACTTGTTCAGTCCAAGGTTTTGGTGGTTTTACGTGAGCGCAGCAGACACAAGATGAGCTCACTTCATTTAACACATCCAAAGTAGTTAAGGTCAAGAAAAAAAAATAGAGTTATCGTGCATTACCCCTGCCAAACTTTTAGCATCTGCCTTAGTGTATGACTGATGTCCTCCATTCCCCTTTCATCAAGCCCAGCGAGAGAGGACACGTTATTCCTTCAGCTCATCAAGCCGTTTGGGACTCTGCCAGCAGGAGAGTCCCGAACCTTATTCACGTGCCCTTCCTCCTAGCCACCAGACCACTAACGACAAGAGTACTTTTATTTGCCATAACACCATTCAACTAGCGCAATCGCAACCCGCAGATGAGACCACAGCCATCCCATCGAGATGGGAAACTTGCAGAGGCAGAAACCAACTTTCTGCAGCACTCAGCGCTTCGTTGAATCATAAAGTACAACATAAAGAGAGCTTCTGCTTTTAGGCTTTAATTATTAAAATGAATACAAGAATTTTCAGGTATGGGAGGGCTTGGGGTTGTTTTAATTTTAAGTAAGCCTTCACATGAAGCATCAATTGCATGCTTTGCTCTCAACCTCTCTGCTGTGTCCCACCCCTCACATTGCTGCTGAGAAATTAAATAACGCACCTACGAGCAGTAGCGACCCATGCGGCTTGGCCAAAACGGAGGTGGAAAAACCCAGCTATGCAATTGGGGGTATTTTAAAACAACCAGATGTTCAAAGATCTCCTTTCCTTGCATTTATCTCCATCCACGCATGCAGGGAAAAAAGAGACAGATGTGCATAAAAACCCGCTGGATTTCTGGGAGAAGAGGCACCGCTGGGAGCCCTCCTGTGTGCAGACCTGTACCTGTGTTTCAGTGGGAGCTCCGGCCAGCACCCACAGCCCTCCCCAACGCTGCACCCACGAGCTGGGGGCCAGTGGGTCCCGTGGGGCCAGAGCCCCAGCTGCACGATGTAGGGGGAATAAGAGCCACGCGCAGAGCCGGGGGATGCATAGACTCACACTCAGCTCAGGTCCCAGGCGCCCGTATTGCTCCGACACCCAGAAGCCCCTCCGGTCCTCCAGGGCAATGTAGGGCTTGTCGGGGTACCTGGCCCTGAATTTCTTGAGGAAGCCTCCCTCGAAGTCGGCCAGCACCCCGTCCATGTCCACCAGCACCCGCAGAGCCCTGCGAGACCCCGCTGCGGGGCTGACCCCTCTGCTCAGCCCTGCGAAGGGTCCGCAGCGCCGAGGCCGCAGGTGCAAGAAGCTGCTCAGCAAAATCATGGTG